AAACTGGAGGGCCTTGGTTCAAGAACTTGAAACTGCATTAAGAAGCATTCAAGTTCTGTATGATCAGGGGTGGTGGATAAACCCAGGGACCTAGATGGAGTTTTAGGTATGAAAGAAAATAACTGGAAAGGTAGGCTGGGCCCATGTTGTAGGCCTGTGGGTGCCAGGGGTTAAGTTATTGGTCATGATAAGATCCTGTTCTCTGCTCTTTGGCTAATGTTAACATGAAAAGTGAAAGGATTAAGACTAGGAGGGTGAAAATAGTGGAGCTAAGTCTTGTTAGAAGGCCAGTGCCATTTTTTATGGTCCTGATGATTTTTAACAGCTATTTTAGCAACAGAATAATGAAAATGTGTGGTACTCTCTTTCCCTTGGGATAATGTGGCCACTGGAAAAGGTCAAAACTAATAAGAAAAATGAGTTTTATTGCTTAATTGTGGATTCAATTTATTTGTGTTTTTCCTATTTCTGTTGCCACGTGTTTTCTGAGTTGACTAGGACAAGCTTCTTTACCAAGAGCATGCACGTTAAAAAAAAAAAAAAATGCTCTGAAATTCTTCCCTACCCTGAAAATATTTAAAATTCCAAAATACATAACAAGTAAAGTATAGCTAGTTTAGGTTGGTTTTATGCTATTTCACATGTAAAGAAGAATGATTTTGAGCTATATGTGATGGTCTGATTCAGAGCGCCTCATCTTTGACATTGTGAGCTGGATTTGTGATTCTTTATTGTGTATTATAGAATGTTGAGCACTGTTCCTGGCCTCTACCCACCAGAACCTTCTAGCACTCTTATTCCCTACTTGTGACAACAGAAAATAAATCTTAACATTATCAAAAGTCCCCTGGGTTGGGGATAAAGGGAAGGCAAAATTACTTTAGGTGGAGAACTGCAGGTTTAAATATACTGTAGCGATTTTATCAGAAAATAATCACTTCCTCCTGCTGCAGTGTGGATGGTTTCACTGAAGCTTGTGGAGACGCGAAAGCTTTTTATCACCAGAAGAAAACTAATGAATGTTTATAAATTCCCCTGAAGAAAGTTTATTTAAAAATATTTAAAGAAAAAGGAATGGCTACTTCTCTGGTTGCCTTACCATTCCTCAGCTTTACCCCCCTGACCCCCAACCACTCTTTCATTTAGTTTCTGGATCTGCTACCACTTAATTTTATAGGGACAGTGTTGGCCTTCTTCCTGGGATATTAAGCCTCACTGCAAAAGATATTATGAATTACAAAGTGTCCAAATAATACTACCAGTTTAGACCTGATGAGAAAATGTAGGTTTCATGCAATGCCTGGATACTAGTGCTCGCTTCACACCTAATGCTTTTTCACTTTGAACAAGCCACTTTATTTTTTCTGTGCAGATTTTCTCATTTGTAAAATGAAGGAGAGAAACTATTATATTATGGGTAGGTTTGCTTCTGGTTCTAAGTATCCGAGACACATTATTTTGATTGTTTCTTTGGGTGTCCCCCTGATTCCCATGACACATCCACCAATGCAATGCAGCCTGCTCTGCAGGGTCACCAGTGGTCCACAGATTACGATGCTGGTCTACAGTGAGATATGTACAGAACAAAAGGGAAACAATTGAAATGACGATGATAATAATATAATAAATTGGTCGTGTTTTTTCCTGGTCTTCAACTTAATTTTTTTTTTTTTTTAAATTTTTTTTATAGAGGCATGTTTTATTTATTTATTTGTTTGTTTGTTTTGTTTATACAAGCACTGGGTACAGTCAGAAGCGCGGGAGGGTGAGAGAATTCACCAGAGCCAGAGCAGGGAGCAGAGCAGGCAGAAGAACCGAAGTAAACTGCTGAGGGGAGCAGCGGGAGGCAGGAGAGGTCTGCGCGCCATGTGGGACCCTCCTCCGGTGGCCAGGGAACAGCCGGGGATTGAACCGGCGCCGCAGAGGCTGCGGGCAGCTTCACAACCCAGCGCTCAACCGCTGTGCCACCGGGGAGGCCCTTAAACTTAATTTTTGAAAAATTTATCTTATTATACATTACACACACACACATATATTTATCAGTCCACGTTGGGTTGGAAGAACGAAAATTAAATAAACTGACTTTTCACTATGGGTAATTTGAGAAGTCTTACTTCTGTGTGATGAAAAAATTTTCTTTGCCTCTCTTTCTACCTTGGACAATCAGAAATATTTAGTATTTCCTCTTCTGGGGTTTCAATAAAAATAGGTGCAAAATATCGCCCGTCTGTCTTATTAACACTATAAAGTTGATGCCAAATCGAATTTATTGTAAAGATGTTTTCCTTACAGAAAACAAGAAGTAATTCTGGAATAAATATGAGGTACTTTTGAATTGTACATATATATGAGTCTTTAAATAGCTAGTAATGTAATAATACCTTGAATTAAGAGAACATTTTTATCTTAGAACATGAACTCAAAGAGCAATAAAAAATGTCTTCAATGATCTTATACCCAAGAATCCCTTCTGTCAGAAATCTATTAAAATGAATGGTATACTGAAATCTCTATAGGTCACTGATGATGATGAAGGTAGGCATGAATGTATGAATTATACTTACTGAAAAGATGATCACAGGTGTTTTTGAGTCTATTCCATTATTCAGACTCATCCAGCATTTGGGAAGATCTATTATATGGGCTAAGGTACGGCAGACTGACATGGAGGTAAGGGCGGTAAAGATCAAATAAATATTTTGATCTTTTTGACCTTTATCTTCCCATGTTAAGATATGGTGGCAGGACCTCCCTGGTGGCACGAGGGGTTAAGCACAACACTATGAGGCTATCCCCAGTCTCTGCAGCAGGAGTTCATCCCCAGCTGGCCAGGTTGTTACCCACATGGCACAGCAGACCTCTCCTGTCTCGCCTGCTGCTCCCCTCAGCAGTGTCTTTGGTCCGTTTGCCTGTTCTGTTCCCTACTCTGTCTCTGATGAATCCTCTTGCCCCCTGTGCTTCTGGCCTGTACCCCAGTTCTTGTATGCATAAATCAATAAATCTTTAAAAAGTAAAAAGATATGTGGCAGACACAGCCTCCCAAATGACAGGTACATATTTGAAGCAGAAAATGTTGCTTGGTTCCCTGCCCTGTGGGTCACTTATTTCAAAACTTCTTATCCCACATGGAGTGATAATCTAGAGAGCCCTGCATGGTTCCTGGGAGCCCTGCGTGTGCCTGACCTGTGGTTGTTGGGAACAGTCTCTTGGCCTATACATTCAGGCTGAGCTCTGTGGGTTTTGTAGTGTTCTTCCTCCTCCAAAGTTAAAGGGGCAAGCTCTTTGCCTGCTCTATTAGCAGCATAAAATCACCCTTTCAGTTTTTTTAAGCCAGAGGATGAAAATATATAACATATTTGGAAACTCTGCTGGCAGACTTGGCAGGCATTTCATATTTACTTGGACTTAACATGAATTGGATTTGGTCCTCTGATTTCCCCGCCTCCATCTCTCGGAACAAGTTATTTATTATACCGAGTAAGTCTGTGTTAGTGGATCAGACATGCACATGGCATGTCTATTGTAAGTGTGTTTGTTCGTAAGATTTATGCTAGCCCAAATTGTTTTATATTGGTTTTCATTGTTGAAAATTTACTGTATTCATTTTTGGTTCGGTGTAAGTATTTGTAGTGTGCTAGGGTCCCCTGTGGTTGAACATTTTATCTCTGTAACACTTCATGCAAAGGAAATTAAAAAATATATAGTGAAAGCATTTCCCTAATATGTTTCCAATCAGCTGTGTATTTTAGTAATTTGATTTGTAGGAACTAGAGAGAAGAGTATTACTGAGATCTTTTCATTCACAATTCTCTGGGAATGCAGATCAGGACTCCAAGTTTATGAAAATGTCTTTTAAAATGCTCTTAAGTTCTTTATTATTCTCTGTGCATGTATTAAGCATTTTCTGTTGATGTTGTTGTTGTTGTTTTTAATCACCACAGCAGTGTCTAAAAGAATTTAGGGAAGAGGGTGAGTCTTCTGTCTGTGTTTTGGACAAGAAAAACTCTTGTAAATTGAGGGTGATTGGCTTGTCAGAACTCAATCATAAAAGCATACAGAGCCAGCCACTTTATTTCTTCATTATCCTATGCGTGTGTGTTGCTTTCCTCTGTACTCTTGGGCCAAACCATCTGATCTATGATTGGTAAATCCCTTTGCCTGGTGGCTTCTGAGCATCTACTAGGCAGTGATCAGAGACATAGCCACGTATATCTTTTCAAAAATGTGTGAAGGATGTTATTTGTACAAAATGAATCAAGATCTAGGCTGTGATCTTTGCATCATTATTTCTTTGGCTCTGTCTACAAAATCTTAAGTTTTCTGCCTTATTTCCTCTTTACAAAATCTCTGGTGCCTTTGCTCTTGATTTTGGCCAAAGATTTAGCATGACATGTGTTTTGGCCAGTGAAATCATGTGTGATAATCTATACAGTGGTAGTTTCAAATTTTCTTAATTTAGCTCATTACATAAAAATAAAATTAAAGTGAAATATGAAAGATGAATCTGGTGAAGACAGTAGCTTTCAAGAGTCTTAGATGGGTATAGAATTTTACAAGTAATTCCTGTATTTTATTTATTTTTTTTGTTTCCTACCATGTTTGAAATGTTCCTCTTGTTCAGCAATTTTAAGTTTATTTAGTCTCATATAAAATTTCCTTTCACAGAGATGTTTTAGCCTTGTACTCCTCATACTTCATTAAGCATATGTAAAGTCATGAGGTCATTCATTTTGACTAAGAGAATTCATTAATCCATCGTTTTCCAATTGAAAATGTAGTCTGTGGGCTTAATCTTCTTACTAGTCAAAGGATTAATGTAAGTGAAAGTTAAGTGGACACTTAGAAAGCTTAGTTGTGTTTTTGGGGAAAAAAGCCAATGACACGTGCTCGTCTCTGTGACCACCGTTCCTGGCTGAGAGGACGCAACTTCTTTTGCTCCTAGATAAAAGAAACCCACACTCATTCTTGGCCTTCTCCTTGCCTCTGTGTTTCTTGTCCAGGTTGCACCTATGAAGGGAATACCTATAACAGCTCCTTCAAATGGCAGAGTCCTGCAGAGCCCTGTGTCCTGCGCCAGTGCCAGGTAAAGTCTAACTATTTTACTTTCCAGGGAAAATCACTCTGTCTCAGAAGCCCTTTCCAGAAAAACCAGAATGAAACAAACAAAAAAAAGCAAAACATAAGTGAGAAAAAATGGAAAAGCAGCTGTATTTTTGTGCATATTTATTGTAAAATTCACCACAACAAAACAGATTGATGATAGATATGGTATAGGACTTGCTTCTAGAAATACACAGTGAACTTGTTTGTGATTGTTAAATGGTGCCTGGAAAACTTCTGGGAAGATGCATACGTCCTTGGGGAAAATTCATGTCTTCCTGTGAAGTCAATTTTGAGTAAAACATGGATTCCTGTTAGCAGAAAGAGGTATTGTTAGAGGATATATGTTTTCCTTCTTTGATTTAGAAACATTTTGAACTGGAGCCAGTCTGTAAACTGTATTAAATCAAAGCAATTAGCTCACTGTAACCTCAATGATTTCAACACAACAAATTTTAGAACCACCAGTTCAGCTCCTAAGGAGCCTGCTTGGCTGGTGTTTGCTGAATGAATTCTGAAATGAGCACTGATTCCACATGGCTCTAATGACAACAGATCATTATATTATCAAAGGGGAAATGAGAAAGCTAAATTTCAAAGACTTCTCTTATCTCTAAAGAATTACTGTGTTTAAAAAAATGTTCATTCTATTGTGAAATAATTTAAAAATTCTTCTCTGTAGAGAAGATGCTGTTAAATAATTTTACCACAGCCTCATTTCATTGTCACTGTCCAAGGATATGCATTTGCAATGAAAGGAGAATGAAAGTCTAGTATAGTAGTACATATTTCTTTCTGAATTTATCTCAAGCATATTGACATTTAGTTTATTGAAATCTGAATTTTATGAGTCAGTGGGCATGTTTACTTGTAAGATCTTCAGGTATTAGTCAGTTAAATGTTCAGTTTATTTATGTAGTAAATCTAAATTATTTGTGAAAATAAGCAGAAAGTAGAACAAATAAAATTAATAGATTCACTGAATAATAAGTATATATTGAGTCTTTACTGTGGCTTATAAAGTCAATCAGTCAGTTTCATGGGACAAAGGCAGGAGAGCAATGAGTTTTAATAACATCAAAAGCACAGATCCATCTAAAAATTTTCATTAGCCCATCACCCTATGAAATTTGCTTCCTGATGAATGAAACTTCCACTCTTCAATAGGGACTCTCTGAGAACCATGGTTAAATAAGACAACTGCTTGCCTTTGGGAGTGTAGTATAGCATTTTTATGCACAGTCCTAGAGATCTTAAAGAAGTTCAGTTTGCATGAGCTGGGGAGCGGGGGTGGGGAGTGTGAATTCTGCTGCCTTTGGATGGACTTTATTTAAATTAAATGAAGACTATTACCTGAAAGGGAATATTTTGTTGACTGAGTAATGTGGTAAGCCTTTATCTGCTGTCGACCCAGAAACTCCTGTCACCTGTGATCACTGGCCATTCAGCAAGGCCTTGAGAGAATGATGAGGGAATATCAAATTATTATTGGATGCTATCTTGAGATATTTTCCTGACAGTCAGGAAACACTGAATTGTAGAATGTAGCCCCAAAATGGGATGTTATCTACCAAAGATGAACTTTGCCTTTGGATTTTTGCCCCTTTTGAAATTTTGCCTGAGCCTTACTAGCTAGTTAAAAAATATCATTTCATTCAACAATAAAAGCTAACCTCTGCTCAGGTAGTTACAAAAGCTGCTCCTTTGTCCAGTTGGCACCTTCCCATCCCTGCTTCCTTTCTCCCTTCCTTAGGGAACAACACCTCATCTATGAATGCAGGAAATGACCATTTATTGCTATCTGTCAGGAAAGGCTTCCCTTAAGACACTCCAGTATAGTGCAACTGCAATCCTCTGTCCAACCTCTTCTCTTTTCAGGGCACAAGAGCAATAAGAGAGGAGCTAGTATAGGGTAATAAGTAAAATCATGGATTCGGCATTCACGTAATGTCTTACTTAACTTCTCTGGACCTCACTTTTATCCCATGTAAAGTAAGGATTGTGCTGTCTCATAGGGTGGCTGTAAAGCAGTAATGAGGCTGCCACAGAAATCACACTGGTACATTCTGGTAGTCATGTACTGGGTTCCACTGGGTACCAACTGGGTAAGTTTGTCTAATGATCTGGTTTATTTAGTTTGAATGGCGTTCTGGCTTATTTCTCCTACCAAAGGAGTTCTGATGGTAAAAAAATTACCTTATATTTTCTGCTTTTAGTTTCTTATTGGAAGAGGAAAATCTGAAGCTCATGGAGAGGAAATTCATGCTGGGAACTACCCTGAATCCTCCATCTGGATTGCAGATACTAAAGGGAAATTGATCTTGGGCCATAGCTTTTTGTTAACTTCAGTTATATAACTACAGCCCAGATCCTTTTTGATGTTGTATATTGCTGGTCTTTTGATAGTTGTTTTTTCCTTTCCCAAATGTGATATAGACCACAATAAATTCCCTTGGCAGTAGAAGCCTGAGGCCTGACAGATATGAAGGCATTTAGCATTACAACACTCCTTATTGGGATGGTATTATGGTGGCAGATGGTATTATGGTGGCAGACATGATGAAGAAAATTGTATAGTCATGAGATTACTATATTATTTCTTAGCCTGTGCTTCCTCTCCCTTTAATACAAAAATTAAGCAGACCAGCAAACAAAAGCACAAATCTATTTACAAAATGGGTAAAGGATACGGAGAAAAATCCTCAACTCCAGAAATTAAAAAATGTTTCAATTGACATTAAAATATTACAGTCCCAAGGTTAGTTTGCAAGTGAGTCATTGGATTTAATTATTAAGACTTAGCTGCTCTATCTTGACATATATAATATAAACTTTAAAATAGTTGTATCTGATCTTTTCATTTCATGCTTAAAAGTAAAGCTTGATATGAGGAGGAGTGAAATTTCTAAGATTGAAGAGCTGGTCTGCTTATTTCTAGGAGGGTGTTAGGATTTAGATCTCCAGATGCCAGTCTGGGATATTACACTTGTACCCTGTGCCTCATGATTAATAGTTTGAAGTGTAATAACTATGATAGAAAAATGCAGTTAAGTTTTGAAAACTTAAAACAACCTTGAATGAACAGTAGGTTTTGTCCGCTGCTGATTGACTGCAAGATGGTGGTAAAACTAGATTTAAAAGAAAGAATTTAAGCCAAAGAGAATGAGCAGGGACAGCGAAAAGAGCAGGTGCCGGGACTCTGTCTGGGGTTTGAAAGCTTGATGGGGAGCTCTGCCCTCCTTGGTGCCCTCCTTGGTGCCTCCCTGGTGTCACTGGACCTGACCCCAGCACTGCTTTGCACTTTCTCATTTGGGCTTGTCTCCTACTACTTTGGTTATTTTCCAGAAGCAGAATATTCCTCAGGGGCATTCCGGGCTGACTTGGCTTGTGGCATTCTGTTTTTCAGGAAGGCGTTGTCACAGAGTCTGAGGTGCGGTGTGCTGTGCATTGTAAAAACCCTTCCAAGCATCTGGAATCCTGTTGCCCCACATGTCCAGGTAACATCTCAGGAAGGGTAAGACTGTAAGTCTCCCTGGTATAGCACAATACTGTGGAAATTTCTGAGTACACTAAAGGATGCATGATTTCCTTCCCACTCTGACTGGAATTTTTCTCACTTTACATCTGTGTACCTAATGGGTTTAGAGAGAAAACTCCTTTGCATAGAAATGTCCGGTTGGACTCTCTGGTGTGCCCAGGATGAATGCAACGTGCTGTAGGTCTTGGCATGTGGATGCTCCAGGCTCGGGAGGCCTGCTTTCCACTCCACAGGGCCACAGGTAATGCTTATTTTGGAAGGAAAGGCTGTGGTTTTCCCTTGCTTCTAGAAATGTCTTTTTACTGCTTCATATTGCAATACCTTGGCCAGAACTTGCCTTGGTGATGAGGTGACCAGATGTTTTCTGAAAACTGAGAGCTGTGTCCCTGAGTGAATTTCGCCTAGGGTTTTGTTGGTCTCAATTTTCAGTGTGGTGCAACTAGCTGGACTCACTGTCTTTTTAGAGGGCCCCACTGCCGAGTTGACAGCAAAGGGATCTTTCCTTTCTAGTGGCTGGAGTGTTTCCTCTTACTTTTCCGAACAGGATTACAAAGCCCTCCTGCCTCTTTTCTTGCCCTTAGGTATGAGCCTGGGGATTTTGAGGCGAGAGATTCTTTCTGATCCCTTAAACCCCGGCCCATAGCCTTAGCCAGATGTTCTGTGTTTTGGGGCTTTATTCTGAGTGCTTTTCCTCACCAGAACTGAAGTGATACTCACAACTACTACTCTTTGCTTTTGGAGGTTAAGCTCCAAAGGGTCTTTTGCTGTGTGAACCTCCCTGGGAAATGGCTAAGGCACCACACTGGAGCCCTCTGCAAAAATGGTGTGTTCCTTCTCAGGCGCCTGCAGCTCCACGCAGGCTGAGGCTCTTCCAAAGCGCAGTCTTTTCTCATCCTTAAATGATAAGGATGATCACTTTCCATTACTTCTCACCTTCCAGAGTTCTCCTGGACAGTCTGATAGTCCCTTTTCGCCACAGTTACTTTTCACGTTGGGATTTCCATGAAGCTCATATGATTGGATAAACTGACATGAAGACTCAAAACTGACTGAAAAGAATTCTTTCCACAATACAGTTATTTTGTATCTATTAGACAGGGTTTCAATGAGTTCTTGTCCTCTCTGAATACATGAATACATTAAAGGCTTTGCATCACATTACCATGCTCTTAAATGCCTAAGGAATCTATAGTAAGTTAGATCGATCAGTAGTTGTTTAGGCTCACCAATAAAATCACTTGGGAAGCTTTAAAAGATAAATCTTGATGCCAAGGCTTTAAACCAGAGCAATTCCATCAGACTCTCAGAGGGTGATTTTGGATACACAAGCTTGAGATTGATAATGGAGCAAATCATATATGCCACATACATTTAAAAGTTACAGGAGCTCTTATTTATGAATTCCATTGTGTTGAGTAGACTTGCTTTATCAATTCAGAACCAACTCAGCTAACCAACTCCTCACTTAAGAGAGAGTCATATTTCCAGGCTGCCTTTGAAAGTGTGCGTATTTAAACAGCATAGTGAATTATTTCAGTAGTCAATGTTATCCTATTTGAGCAATTGTTTCTTTCATGTTTTTGTTGTTGAGTTTCCAGGGGAAGGAGAGGCTGAGCTCCATGATTGTACATTTTGTGGAACCTAAGTCATCATGACCATCCAGTCAGGGACAAATGCAGTTTGTAATTCACATAGGAGAAATTAGACCCAGTGAGAAGAAGCACTTGCCCCAGCCCATGAGTGATTCAGGGACAAATGTGGGGTTGAGCTCCAGCCCTTGGGTTTCCTCATCACCATGCTACACTACCCCCTTCTACCCACCTGCCCTCATACACACACATGCACACTAAGTCAATTGTGCTGCTTGGTTCCAGATGCCCTGGGAGGCATATCTTTAGGAGCAGGCATGCCCATGGCACATATAACCACCTCTGAACTTCCCCCACCCACACTCCTGGGTCAGCTCTGTTATAGGGTCAAGAATCAACTTTACTCTCTCTCCTAATTTCAGAGACCTACCTTTGGGATGTAAATCAGAAGGCTCAGAGAGACCCACATGCAGAATGCATTATGCTTTGTCTTGTGAGGGAGGCCTTAAGCAAGTCTAGATAGGGATAGTCAAGGGAACCCTTGGGGTATTTGCCTTGGTAATTCACAACTGGCATCTGTCATTGATCATGGAATGGTATTCTGCATAATGACAAACATGTAACAGTCTGTGGTCAGTTTCTTCCTGAAACAGATTTTAGGGCATTCTTGGTTGTCTGCTCCTTCCTTTTTGTCTCTTTGCTCAAGGATGGTGGGTTATGATGGGAATAGTTTACATAAAATTTCCATTTAAAGTTCCTTTATTTAAATAGTCAAATGTTAATGTGGTTAATCTGCCTCGGAATCTGTATGACAGAATCAATGGTGCAAATATATAGAAAAAAATTGAAGACCCTTTATTGGAAGTGTCCATTGAATGAGAATACTGGTCCCCTGCCATTATTATCAATGTAGAGACACAGCCACTGGGAGAGACCCAAGCTTCCCAAGATGTTCCACATCACTGGGGATAGTAAGGAGAGGGTAGAATGCTAGCTCTGGGTATGGGTATCAGTAGGCTCTTATTCCTGAGACAATTTTTTTTTAAACTATATTTCACTTGACTATTCAACTTCAGACTCAGTAGCATTTGCTTTCAATTGAACAGAGAGTTCCCCATGCAGCTATAAATGAGTAGGTTTCAAGGTCAGATCAGCTGGCAATGGGTAATGCTGGTTCCTCCTCCTCAGAACCCAGCTGCTCCAGGATTCTGGTATGCTCTTTTGACGACTGAAGTTGGCAGGTCCTGAACTCTTCCTCCCAGGGATGTGAGTCAGAGTTTTGCAAGAGCCCCCTCTGCTAAGTTTCAGTCATTGGTAGCACTGCTTCCAGCATTTTCTACTAGGTGAAAAGCAACCTCATCTATTTTGGCAAAGTTCTCGTGGGGACAGTCTGGAGAAAAGTGGCTTTGCCTTTCTTAGGCGGTTGTCCTGTGGCCTATGTGACATAGGATTTCTGTGTCATTGTGAGATTTCTTAAGAATATGGCAGTGTCATTAGCATCTTTCTGAATAAGAGATACTCCCTGGGCTTTTGGTTCTGTTTTTAGTCCAACTTGGAGGCGGGGGGCACAGCCCTTTTGAAAGTGTATATAGGGTGACACCGAAAACCTGTGCAGCACCTCCTTCTCGCCATCCGCTCTTTCTTCTTGGCTCTGCATAACGTGGGCTCCAGCTGAGTCCCAGTCCCAGCTCTGCCCTCTATCAGTTGTGTGAGTTACTTCCTCTATCTGAGTCACATATTTTTCGTCTCTGGGCCCTTGGCAAGAATCTCTACTTATAGGCTCATTGTGAAGATGGATTAAGATAAAGGCCTTCTAGGCGCTGGCCTGCCCTTCAGTACTCACCAAGGATCAGCTGTTTGTGTTATGTGCTCTGGGTGTGGTCCTGGTGAGTACCTTACACCATGCGACTCACTACAGGGTGCTACTTCCCACAGGGGACTGGCTTCCGCCATCTTACTATTTCTAGCATCTTTGAGTTTCTGTCAATATTTTATATTCATCTGTTCATTATTATTTTATGATGTAACAATCTTGTCTTCTTAGTAAAAAGGACATGCTGGTAGGTGGATATGAAGGTGACAAATGGTTGAGCAGTGGGAAGAAGGAAAGAGTCATGTTGATTGAAGACTGTTATCCTGCTTCTAAACCCTTCTTTGCTTTCTAGGTTGTGTGTTTGAGGGTGTGCAGTATCGGGAAGGGGAAGAGTTTCAGCCAGAAGGAAACAGATGCACCAAGTGTTCCTGTGTTGTAAGTACCACTGGGGATGTTACAGGGTTAATTGCTTCTGGGACACACCACATGCAACCCTGACTCTCTTTACAGTTTCTCCTCCTTTCCCTTCTGTTGTGGAACTGAGGGAAAAGTTTATCATTCTAAGGCAGGTTTATCAACTGCAGCACCCTTGATCCTCTGGCCTGGAGAATTCTTGTGCTGGTCATTGTCCTGTGCATTGTAGGAAGTTTAACAGCAACACTGCCTCTGTGCACTAGATGCCAGTAGACTCACCCCTTCAGTTGTGACAGCCATAATTGTCTTCAGATATGGTCAAATGTCTCACAGAGATCAGAATGTTTGTGATTGAGAATTACTGGTCTAAAGAATGAGGGAGAGAGATTGACTTTCTCTCTTCTGCTTTTTTCTTTGGGAAGACATGGATTCTCTGTCATTTGGGGCAAAGCTTCTTGTTGAGGCAGCTGTTGAATTCTTTAGTGCAAACAAGAAGCAGATGAGAATACCTCGTATATTCTGTGGGATAAGAGACACTTATCTGATGGTTGCTCAATTTTATTGGGGGGAATGGACAGGAGGAAACGACCCCTGAACCATGGATTCAGTGTGGAGTAGGGATTAGTGAGGCAAAGCCACTGACTTGCCTTTCTAAGCGTTGATTTGTAGTTCACATTCTAAGGATATTTTCAGAGTGCTTAGGAATGCAAAAAAAAAGAACATGGTGTATGTTATAATTTCAAAAAGATCATTTTTATTAATATAGTATAAATTTGAAATAACTTCCTTGGTGGTAATGGTGATGATGGGGAGTCTAATCTTAACCAGCTGCTCCAAGTTATTTACAGTAGGGAGTTAGGACAACCTTGTATTTTTAAGGTTTTAATCTTTTGTAATAAAGAACATACAATGTGCATCTAGAAAATTACAAAATATACCTGGGGAACTCCAGCATCCTAATTTCAACAAAGTAGAATCATATGTGGATGATCATAAATCACAGCATTTATTTTACATGTCTACATAGTTGTTTCTTGGAATACCTCTCTAAAATCCCTCCCCTTGTTCCAAGTGCAATTGCACACACAACTTAAAGAGTCTAGATCAAAGTATACATGACCCAGGATGATGATTTTTGCATGGGGAGGAGAAAAGAAAAGGAGGGAAAGATGGAGAGATGGAAGGAGAGAGAAAATCAATATAAATATATTGATTATGTATTTATATTATACCTCATGTATATTATGCTTCATGTATATTATACCTCATGTATGAAACATAAAAGTAATTTACTAATATTATACATTGTGTATAAAATGCAAAAGTAATTTACTAATGAAGATGAACATGAGTTTGCTTATTGAGACTCAGCTTCATCTCTTGCTAATTATAGTTAAATAGCTTTATGGGGTTTTTTTATGGAAAAGATTTCTACTTGCCATTAAGTACTGCCCATTTCTTAATTTCATTTCTTCCATATTGGTAGTTACAAAGTTTTTTGTTAAACTTTTTTATTAATCTCATTTTCCTGTGTAGATGGAGGGAACACAAAGCACATTTGGGTAGAAAATTTTAAATCTGAACCAATTCTGTCCTATAAATCAGTCCTCTTGGGAGGAAATTTAGAAGACAGCAAGGATAGCAGCTTTTTCATCCACTACACCTCTACAAATCTACAGAGACTTGATGACAAATATAAATACATGTGTAAATCTGGATTTTTCCAGAAACAGACCCTGAGTAAAGCATTTGTTGGCAGGTAGTAATGGTGGGTAATAGTGAAGCCTCTGGTAGAGGAATGTGGAGGAGAGAGGTGAGGGCATAGCCAGTGGGTAGCTCACTTAGGGAGCTATGCTGGGCAGAGCTCACTCCTGCTGGGAAAACCCTGAAGCCAATGCAAGAATGATGCCTTAGAATTTCCCGCCCAGGTGGTGAGAGAGATGAGATGTGTTTATACCAAAACCTCCTATTCCTAGGGAGTGTTGACTAGGTATGGTTTTGTGTCTGCCACTCAGGTGACAAAGGGGTCCGAGGAGAAGAAGAAATGCAGGTGCTGGGAGGTGGAAGCCTGGTGTGTGCTGACAGGATGTGGGTGGAGCTCACTGGAGTCAAATGCAACATGACTGCGTTGAACGTGGCACACCACATGCACATAAGCAGAGAGATGGTCATGTGCTTAGATCTAGAGAGTGTGTGAATGTGTGCACTAGCTTCTTATCAAACATTATTATTATTTATAAAGATTTATTTATCTATTTATACAAGAACGAGGGTACAGGCCAGATGCGCGGGAGGGTGAGAGGATTCACCAGAGACAGAGCGGGCAACAGAACAGGCAGACTGACAAAATACACTGTTGAGGGGAGTGGCGGGCGAGATAGGAGGGGTCTGCCGTGCCATGTGGGACCCTCGCGGCCGGCTGGGATCGAACTGGCGCTGCAGAGGCTGCAGACAGACAGCTTCACAGCAGGGCGCTCAACTGCCTGCGCCACCAGGGGAGGCCCTCAAACTTATTATTTTTAAGCCTCCAGTCCTTTGCTCATGTTGCAATCCCTCTCTGCAATTCTTTTCTTTTTCTTTTTTCTTTTTTTTAAAGATTTATTTATTTTTATACAAGAACCGGGGTACAGGCCAGATGCGTGGGAGGGTGAGAGGATTCACCAGAGAATGAGCGGGGAACAGAACAGGCAGACAGATGAAATACACTGCTGAGGGGAGCAGCGGGTGAGACAGGAGAGGTCTACTGCATCATGTGGGACACTCTCCGGCCAGTCAGGATTGATCCGGAGCTGTAGAGGCTGTGGACAGCGTCACAGAGCACGCTCAACTGCCTGTGCCACCAGGGGAGGCCCAATTCTTCTCTTTTTCTTCTTCACCTGGTGAATGCTTAACTTTTCAGCATCAGCTCTCCTCAGCTCACTCACTACAACTCTCTGACCACTCCATTCCCCTGGGGCAGAGGCAGCCAAGATTTTCTTATTCATTCTCTCTCTCTCTCTCACCATGGACACACACACAACCATGGAGGGTGCTTTCTGTCTATACACACACACATACACGCACACACACATACATACACACGCCATTGTAGCAAGGTTACTAGTTCATTTTCCTCTTCTCTGTGTTAGACTTTGTGTGCATCAGAGAAGCAGGTGTCCTTAGCTGCAGTGGGTCAGGCTTGGGTGTGGGGGAGGGGCCCTTGTGACTTTGAGGGCCCAGGTCCCTTCTGGTTCCTGATCTTTCTGTCCTCGGGGCTTAACACAGTAACACAGTGGGTACCAGTGATGTTAGCGATGCTATTCTCCATCTTTACCATTGCTGCCTTGTGATGCAGCTCTCTGAAGGCCAGGAATGTCTTATAAATGGTGACAGTTCTGAGCTTAAAAGATGGCCAGCCCCTTCTTGCCCAGGAGAACAGCTGTTGCTAGATACCCAACTCTTGTCAGGTTGCTGTTTGCCTCAAAACACCCCCTCTGTAATCGTGGGGAGCGAAATGTCCTGACTGGCTAGCACCCATCTCTAGTAGGTGAATCCCAAGCTCTCCGAGGTGTCCATTCGCAAATAAATACTGCACATGCCATCTGGCTTGTGTTTTACATGCAACTCCCCCTTGTTTACACTCTTTAAATTTGTGAAAATCTGTTCACCCATGTTTTTGTGATGTGGTGACAGAGGCAGACCATCAGAAAGACACTTCATCTGATTGAGATGGATTCCTTAGATAATGAAACAAATGTCTTACACATGATTTTACATCCTTGTTTTAGATTGGGGCAGTATCTATGGCATTCCAGACAGTTGAGAACATGTTAATATTTGAAGATATCTGGAGATTTCACAACATCTTGCTCTTATCCACTCCCAAAGCAAAGCGTCTAACATTTTTAGGTGTAAATATCATCATGAGTCACCTAGAAAAGAGTAGCAGTGCTCTATTATCAATTGTTAACTGTATCATCCTCATTACCCATTGTGTAAAGAAGGGAGCAAGGAGAATTGCTTCTTCCAAGTCCTAGTACTTATCAGGTGGTAAAAGTTTGCATTCCTTTAGGGGCCCCGACTCTCAGTGATGTCAGAGCACATTCCTACAGCATGTGTTCAATGCAAATAAGTCCTAGATTCATTTAAAAATAGAAAGGTGATTCTTTCTTAAGACAGAGCAAATAGTAATTTGTGAAGTGTAGTGAGCATCGGTTAAAGTACATATTTGCTTCTCTTTCATTCAAGCTTGAGATTTTATTAACTACTTATCCCAATAGCAAATAGTTCTATATGCTCTTGTTCTGTCAAATTTTCAGGGAATGGGATAGTGGCAGTTGACACAGGTATTTCTCTAAAACCTTAGGTCTTCAGGCTTATAAGGCTAAGGGCCAAGGTGCCAATGAGAGAAGCTTGTGTGTCTTTTACCAAACTATTTTAAGAACCCTATGGGCTCAGTGCTCCTGGAAATTGCTAATTGGAGGGAATATAGCCCACTGAGCCCACTCTTAAGAGTGGCAAGTCTTCATCTGCAAACCAGCCAAATTAACTGGCCAAGATCAATTACTTTTGCTGACAAAGGCATATTAAGTTCAGAGGATTTCTACTAATAAACATGGGTTGTTAATGGGCTGTCTGTGATGAAGGAGCTATACTTTATTGGCTCTTAGAAGTCCTGAAGTCCATAAACACCTTTGCTCTCACTTACACTTTATATATTGCAAAGTGCTGTCTCCCAGGGAAAATGAAACTCCTAGGCAGGTTATTTGGAGAGAATCAAGAAATGGAGATCCTCAGGGTTTCTGTTACTCTTAGACGAGATCCCTGAAGATGTTCTGTTTAACCTGGCCCCGCAGACGACTGCCAAGTGCTCTGGCTTCTTCCTTGTTCTCTCTGCTCTGGCTTCTGAGCAGATCCTCTGGACCCCGGCTACACAAAATGTGTGAATCCATTCAGCAGTCTCACCTGTGAACCTGTTAGAAATGCAGACTCTCGGCCCCCACTCCAGACCCACTGAATTGAAATCTGCAAGATTTAACATT